GATTATTCTCTGTCCTTGCCCTAACCGCACCTATGCCTGTCAATGGTGGTTTTTATGGTGGTTGTAAAGTGATACAGTGAGTGGTTTTACAGTGACAATAACAAGCTGTCAAAATCATTCCTGGTCTATCATTAGATCTTATTTAGGTTTAAATGGCTTGACACCTACCTCTCTTGCTCTCTCTCTCTCTCTCTCTCTGTGTGTTTGATCTTAGCCTATGTGTTTTCTAAGGTGTCATGTTTTTTAACCTCATCATCTGTAAGCATACAGCCTGACTACGTAAATCAAAGAAATTAAATTTTTACCCTTTACTCCATTGTCAGTTAATGAATTGGCTGAAGTATTTCAAGTATTGTTTAAATGCCATTGTTTATGTTACATTCAAGTACTTTTAATATGGTACAGAGTTAATGGTTTGATATTCAATTCAATTGAACCAAAAAGTTAATAAATTAATTTTATTAATTGGCTGCTTATATATATATATATATATATATATATATATATATATATATATATATATATATATATATATATATATATATATATATATATATATATATATATATATATATATTGAGTTTTCTTTTACCATCATGTTTCTTCACTTGACAGCATCAATGGCTGAAACACTGTTTTTGTGATGATAATAATTTTGCTGTGTTATTCATGATGACCCTTTGTTTTACCACCCTGCTTCTCCTATTCTCTATTTTAATTAAACTATTTTCCACCATTATTCCATTATTTTTCACTCAAGAAAAAGAATCCTTTAAATCCCTTAGTGCTTTACCCAAATGACACAACTTCCATTCATTCACATGTTCTCTTTCTCCTCTTTTTCCTCCCCACAGATTGTCAGGGCAGAAAGGATTGTGATGTAAATAACAAGCTTTCTTTGTGTAAAAGGACAGATTTAAAGCTGATTATGTTAAACAACTTGTTAGTTTAAAGACACAATAAAGTGAATGGATGGGTTTTAGCAGATATGCTGCTGTGCCACAGGGGTGTTTCTCTAAAATAGGGTTAATCCCCCTGTCTGTTCGCCAATTTGCACATCAATTGTAGGGATCAATGTGAAAGGAAAAGGAAAGATAGGCATTAAATCCTCTACAGATGGAAGACCAACACAAAAACTGTTAAGCAGCAAACACCGTCATGAACCGCCCTGGGCTTAAGGAAGTTGCTTTGTTAATTTTACAGAAAAGAAAAGCCGAATCCTTTTGTTACACCTGGCCTCATGCTGTCCTGTGTTTTCACCACCTTACTTTACTGAAGTAATACAACACAGTATTTTTGTTCTCTGATGGATTTCATGTTGATCAGGTTAAAAAGTGTCAAAAGATTCATTAAGAAGAAAACAGATGGGATGTTTCTCTTCCACTTGATAAAACCGCAAGCTTGTTTTACCCACAGTTCGGGTCATACACAAAGTTATACACATGTTTAAGAAAATCAAAAATTATACAAAGCAAATGGAATAATTTAATTTTTTCACTTAAATTTTATGAACAACCTTCCATTGTTTTTGAAATTTCAGATAATCTAATTTTTATTTGATACACTCAAATAATATTTTGTCATAAAAACATCTTCTTTTTCTTCTATTTTTTAAATTTTCCAGTTCATAGATGAAATCTGCCCAATTCTTCATACCTGCATGATGCTGGCAAAACTTTCTCTTTTTGCCTATATCAATAATTTATTTTTAAGTATTAGTCAACTGCCATCCATCTCTATAAGCAATTTGCGATGATTCCCTCTGCCCTCTGCTTCTAGTTTTGTGAATTCATATTTCTATTTATTATGAAATAAATAACTCCTCATCCAACAGAAAACTTTTCTCCATTTTGTTTTCTCACATTTTGCTGCTTTACTGTTGCTTGTGGTGGCCTCGGCCATTGTCTGTCTCTTTTTTTTTTTTACTCTCTCTCTTTCTTTCACACACACACACACATACAAACTTCACAGCAGTGAGGATTGGGGGCAAATGCTGTCACAATTTTTAAAAGGCTTCCCATGGTTAGACATGCTTGAAATGACATTTTAGTTCACTGGAGGATGGGAGTGGGGCAAAAAAAGTGTGGATAAGAAATACGAATGAGGAAGAGGGGGAAGGACAGAAGAAATTCAGGAATTGTAGCAGTGAGAACTGAAAAAAGGGACTTTAGGATGTTTAATAGTGATGTGTCCTTCGCAAGTGATTTCCCGAGTCACATGAAAGATTTGTTCATGTTGAACTCACGAATCACTCACAAATAACTCTCTGCGAACTAATCTTTCACTGCGAACTAATCACTCATTGCAAATTAATCACTCACTGCGAACTAATCACTCGCTGCGAACTAATCACTCTCTGTGAACTAATCTTTCATTGCGAACTAATCACTCATTGCAAACGAATCACTCTCTGTGAACTAATCACTCGCTGCAACTAATCACTCACTGCGAACAAATCACTCTCTGCGAACTAATGTTTCATTGTAAACTAATCACTCTCTGCGAACTAATCACTCTCTGTGAACTAATTTTTTGCTATGAACTAATCTTTCGCTGTGAACGAATCACTCTCTGTGAACTAATCTTTCGCTTCGTTCTCGCAGATTTGTTTTACGTGACAGAGAGCTCGGGTCTCTTTTGCTCTCATTCATCTTCACATTGTGGTGTGTTTTTCTTTCTTACGTTTTCACATGGTTTTAATTGCTTATGGCATTTTGTGTACTTTGTAGACTTTGTCAGCGGAAGCAAACCATGTTGCCTTCAGTATTTAGTGTCGGAGAACCGCAGCCTTCTTTACAACGCCCACAATAGGGCTAAAGCGCCACCTGCTGTAAAACGAATGAAATGATTAGTTCAAGATTCGTTCACGACTCGTTCATTTTACTGTTCAAGAGTCATGTTTAAGTTTTTATATTTTTTTTTCTTCTTTTGTTTAAAAACTAAATCTAAATCTACATATTTATTGTTTGGGTCAGACATATCCATAACAAAACTGACTTTTATGGTGAGTTAATCAAAAAATGACCAATGAATGACCATAACACACACGCGCATACTCAAACTTGGCCCAGACTTCTCAATTTCAAAATGAATTAAGTGTTCAGTCGTATAGTAGAATAACTGCTCAATCTTTGCTTTCAGACCTGTAATGCTAGTCACAGAAGTCTTCTCAGAATACACATTGGGTTTTGTCTACAGTAAATGCCTAAAGGCATAGGGATAGCTCTAAAAGGAAATGGTCTCTCCAAGTGTATGAGTCCATTAATTTATTAGCGTAAAAGCTCCAGGCAGGGCAGATCTATAACTGCTTCTTTCAAGTGTCTCTCGAAGCTATATGATTTATGAGCAGCATACCACTAAGTCAAAAGGTCTTCCATGAAGGCGTTAGTTACTATTTTGAAGTTAAGCATCTTGTTTGTAATTCAGTTAGCTAAGCATTTAATGTCTTAAAACTCTCATCTCATAAGTAAAAAGAAAACACAAAATAATGAATAACTGTGACTGGTTATTACAGCACTGACCAGTATTTATTAAACACCTTTCAGCAATGTTATACAGTTATGACAAGAGTCAGTATTTTCAATTTAAAAGAATAGCTGGCCTATACATGCTCCTTGTGTAGCATGTATAGTGAAAGTTGACCGTACTTTTGATTGCTCTGACAGTAAATGCGGGTAGTGAGGACATGGTAACAGTCATTTAATCTGGCCTTCATGCTGTGGGCTACTTCTCTGATAAGGGAACTTCCCTCTAAATTGCTAAATAGAATGGAGTAGAATAGAATTTAACACCTTCTATTGTCATTGCAAAACACAGGAATCAGGTGTATGAAATTAGATTAGCAGATGACAACAAATACCAAAAACAACCATATACTAACTAACTTAAATCAAATAAAACCTAAAACACGTAAGTACATATGTAATAAAATTTTAATTATACAATATAAATAAGGGCTATGAATCCAGTGAATCCATTAAAATGTGTCATCTAATTAATCCCACTATTGCTGGTGATTGATCGCAGTTAATCAGTAGTAATTGGAAGTGTTATTATTATTCATCATTATTAATTGGTATAAATAACATTCCTAAATAACTTTTAAATAACTTTTAAATAACTTTTAACTTAATAAATACTGTTTATACTGTGTTTAATAAATACTGGTTATAATTTTTCAACTTTTAAATAACTTTTTCAAAAAAAAAAATTTCAGTAACAGTAAGATAATAATCACAGGGTATCTACTGGGTATCTTTACGATGACTTGTAGAACGTGTCAAAAGTTTCTTTTAAAACATCAGTGAAGCCCTTCTCCTTAATATTGATCAGGACAACATCCCATTTAACAATTGAGTCAATCAACTTGTCAGCTGCAAACTTACTGTCTGCCCTGTGCTCAGTAAGACTGCTGAGACTCTTGCTACAGATAGGTTCATGTCCTATTCTTTAAGGTCAAATTTAAAATTGTATGCAAACTGCTAGAAAAATGTTGCCCCGTAGCTTTTCGGTTAATGTGCCAGATGTCAGACAACATGAGACAGATCTGGACTGCCAGCCAGTAGGTCAAGGAAACTAATACTTTACATGTCTTGGCAGCTACACCTTTTTGATATTTTTGAAGAATGATACCTGGCATTGTCCTGATTATAAGTTTTTGGCTACAATTTTAGATTATTGTAGACACTAAGTGGGATTCGGCACAACATCACTGTGCTGCTTTTTCTTATGTTATACATTCTGAAGGAGAAATGTCAAAGTTGGAGAAAATGATTTGTGATGTGATCAAAGGTAACAATCCCAAAGATTGTTTTCAATAATCTTCTCTCACTCCTTTTTTTCTGCCTTGTCTACTGTTCACCAAGTCCTTCAAGCCAAGCTCTGTCTGTGTGTGTGTATGTATGTGTCTGGGGAGGGTACCAGCCCTCCCTACGAGGCAAGTGATGTAAACTCCTATCTCTCTTTCTCTCTTTCTCTCTCGGCTGGACTGTTACTGTCAGAGGATTTGGAGGACACTCAACTGCTTCTGCTTCTGCTGCTGGTGTGTGAAGTGTGGTGTGGACTTTTTCGAGATACAGTGGGCGCTCACACACACAGAGGAGTTGTATGCCTTAGAACGACCACCCCCCCCCCACTCATCTCTCTCTCTCCCTCTGACACATATATACACACACTCGGTGAGAGCGTGGCAGTGTGGGAGAGGTGGATCCTGTTTTGTGTTTCTACTAAAGAGAGGAGCGGAGTGGAGCAGCAGACTCTACCATGCCAGTGCAGGGAGAAAGGCTGAAGCTCTGCCTCTGTCTCTGGAACCGCAGTCCTCTGCTATTGCTGGGACTGTTTTCTCTTCACATGCAAACACATGGTGAGTAACTGCACCTTTTTTTTTCTTTTTTTTACTCCTGCTCACTCTAATTATTGCTGTTTTTTATGCCACTTGATTGTAAAGTCTTACATGTACGAATGTGGTTTCAAAGTTAAATGTGCAGCAGTGAGTTGTTGTGCGTCTATTTCATGCACTCTGAGGTTTGTGCTCACACCGAACGCACAGAATTTGAAATCCGCAGTAAAGCTTTTATGCAACTGTTGATGTGAAAATTGGAGGATTATAGATGATTCATTGGCAATGACATAGTTTTAAGCTTGTGTGATGTATGATTTTTTCAACTTTAGAGAATAATTCAAATTAATTTTCTTCCTTTTTTAACAAAAATGGAAATATACTACATTTATGTATTAGCAGGAATTGTATGTAAAATAATAAATTATTGCAAGGAGTAATGGCTTGTACTTAAATACCAAAGGCTTTATCATCATTTCATCACTTGGTGCACCCGTTTTCCAGGTTAACAGCGACTCATCTTCACTCTGTGTGACTTTGTAATGTTTTCTTTAAACAGACTGGTGGACTCAGTATATTGTCATGGGTTGACACTGTTACTGTTAGCCTCTTTGTCTGTGACCATGTTTGGTGTTTGGAGTGTGATTGGTGAGGTGTTGGGAGAGAGAATGTGTCAGATTTATTGGTCCGTTATGTTTGGTGCTGTGTGTCATTCCAGGTTTGTGCCTGTGATTTTCTCCCACACATCACTTTAATCACATTTGTGTAGCTGGTCATCGAAAGAACACCTGTTGAGGCTGGAGAAATATAAATTGACGTGTGTGTTAAAGTTACACTACACATTACATTAGTGTAGTGTTTCTTCTGAGTGATGAGTCTGTGCATACTTTTCTCCTTTCCCCCTTTGTTGTTCATCTATTTAAAGTCATGGGAGATTGTTTCAGCTGGGAGGCCTGAAGTGAAGCCAGAAAAGGCTCATACTTGGTGTGTTATGTGTTGAGGTTGTCCTGTAACCTCTGGCTGCATGTCACCCCCATTTTCTCGTCCATCTTTCCATTCATTGTCATCTGTTGAATCGGCTTTCTTATGGAATCCATGCTGAGTTGCCCCCTTTGTTACCTTTTGGTGCCTGATGTCTTAACAGCTTTGTCTTAGTTTTTTTTAAAAAAACAGCTGTTTAGTCTAAAAGGTGGGGAATTCCACATAACTAGGAATTTACACTTCACACCTTGCACCATGTTTTTCCCACTTGGGTCACATCAGACACAAAATGTCCTTCTATGATAATGCGTTAAGCACTGGATCCGTTCAATTCTGTTGTATTTCTCTCACCCTTTCCAAACAAAAAATAATAAGGGCATGTTTAATATGTTTTTGTATGTTTTTGACATGTTTTTGTATGGCTTAATTAACATAAATGTATGACTTCTTAGCACTCGTACATAGTTGTATGAGTGCTTAGTAGCACTTGTTGCTGCGAGACAGTGTTTGGTCTAAGATCACAGAGAAAATCCAGCAGAGACTGAGAATGGACAGCACAGGGAGACAGCATGTGTGAGACGTATTGTGATGGAGAGAGAGAGAGAGAGAGAGAGAAAACAATATTTCAGTCTCTCGCTCTCAATTCTGAGGCAGTGTATATGCAAACAAGTGTGTGTCTGAATGAGATATGATATATACAGTAAAATAAACTTGCTGCTGACACCCAGGCTATCATTTCACATTTACTCCTTATACTAAGCATAGTAAAATAATCTAGGAAAAGTTGATCATCATCGACGTAGATTAATTTGACATTTTTTACCTATCAGAAAAAGATTAAATCTGCTTTAAAATATGATAGCATATAGAAAATCAGGCTCTTAAAGTTAACCTGAAGTTAAAGTTGTCATATATTTACTATACTATATACTATACTATAATCTACCTTAGTATACTATATTTTTAACTAATTATTTCAACAGTCTATTTCTGTATTTAATGTATGAAAAACATAAATCATTACATCATTTGGGATGTAACAATATACTTTAAGCCATCACTATTTTATGTTATTGTTGACTAAGGTTGTAATAGTAATAGAGCTCATTGGTTGATCGTCTGTATAAAAGTGTTAACCTAAAATAAGATAAATATATAAATATATATATATATATATACACTATAAGGCGCACTTAAAAGCCTTTAATTTTCTCAAAAATCAACAGTGCGCCTTATAACCTGGGGCGCCTTATGTATTACTTCTGGTTGTGCTTAATGACCTTGCACCGATTTTATAAAGCCAAACCACACAGCTCATCACGCATGGTACAGAACTGAAGCACAGTGGGAGCCAACAATGACGTTTAACTCTGTTATCACAATTAGAAGATGCTCAACAACAATTGTTACAGTATAGTTGTGTAACCCATATTCCGTGCAACGTTGCATTGTGCCTCCCAACAACCGGAGACTCTACGTTGTGTTTTCGTATTGTCGGTGTAAGGTGCGATGCAGGACGACTCAGACACATGACTGTTGATTTTTTTTTTCATGGTCAAAAACTCTTTTTATTTCTCGTTTTTCACTGGCCAGCAGTATTCACAGGCTTGTTTATTAATGTTTTTTATACAGGTGTGAAAAGGTTTCATGACAATTGTCATTCAACTTATGACTGGTCTTGACAATCTGTAGTCTTTTACAATGGATATTAAATCAGAAACAGTTACCTGCTTCTCTGTTTACTTATTAGTCTGTTGTTTTGATCGAAAGGATACATTTCACTGGGAACAAGCTCAGTTTCCTAACAGCCGTCAAATAAAGCCTCACTGACCTGTAACTGTAACCTGACATGTAAGTGTATGAGTGTCTCGTGTCCTTTATCAGTCAGGTTTTTACTTACATACTGTGTTTGTGTTGGCTGCTACCAGATGAATTGTGTTTTCACGGTGAGCTGTCGCAAACTAATGCAACTGTATTAAAATAAAACTTTGCCCAAGACTTGTTAGCAACAGCTTTCGTTGGTTGACACACATAGATGATTGATTGGAGCACCAACAGCCCTATTGATTTGATGACAAATGGATGATTGATTGTCAAGGTAATTGATTCAGCAGTGACTCAGCCACAAAAATATTTGTTTTGTAGAAAATAAATTTTACAGGTAAATAGACAAAAAAATATGCCATATAGTGTAGAAAAATATTATCTGTCTACACTTTATTGTTATCCATTTCTTCTCTCACGCCATCCTGTTCCTAATTACGGTTGCAGGACACCTGATAGATTACTGAATATAGTAGCCTCTTTTTGGTTGGCTAATATTTCTGGACTAGTAGCCACAGGTGAAAAAAAATAGTAAAGATGGTTGTAGCTGTAGACGACTACATTGTCTGCACACAAGAGACAGTTTGACCTGCAGCATGTCTAGGTGGTTGTACTTTGTAAACTATGAAGGACACTATTTTCATTATTCCTCAAGAAAATAATACACACACTAAGTGGTTTTTTAATGACCTTTCCAACTAAACCAGGCTGTAGCCTGTGAGTTCTGGGAAATGAAGAGTGAGCACGATAGCTTACATTTCATTGTCCTTGGTGGAAATAAGCACCACTGTATCAGTTCTCACAGTCAAAGCTCTGCCAGTTGCTTTCCTTTTGTCACAAGTCACCAATGAGACAATGTTGATCTACACAGAATTTAAAGTTTTGTTTTGACAGTAAAGAAACGTCAAGGTTTTTTAGCAGAAATAATCCCACTGACTCAAGTGTTGGTTGTTATTGTTCAGTTAAAGTGCTGCAATGCGCCATGTCTTTCAGTCTTCTGTTGATTCTTTTGTTTTTTGTTATTTTGGCAAAATCACATCTACGAGTTAAAGTACTAAACACCTGCTGGGTAATTTGAGGTTTGAAAGATGTCTTTTCCTACAAGCAGACAAGGCAGCTCTCATGTGATGTTGTGTTATTGTCAACTGTGATTTAATGAAAAATTGAGGTTCACAGAGGAAAGTTTTTTTTCTGTACCCCACAAGAGGGCACTACACTTGACAATTAAACCCTGCTACTGTACAATTGAGAAAGACATTTTTAAAAAGACAACTGGATCTTTAACACATTTTTTAAAGATGTGACTATAATGCAACATATAATCCAAAGTTCACAGTGTTTCATACCATACCATACCATACCATACCATACCATACCATATCATGCTATATCATACTATTCAACAGAATATACCAGTTTCCGCTAGTGTGCTAAGGAAGAATTTTCTGCTATAATGTGAGGGATTGTCAAGTTGGATAGCACAGATCTAGCAGTGTGACTATTGTGTTCTTAGAGCTCAACACATTTCTGTCTGCACAGTACAGTGATGGACAGATAACAGGTGAGGGGCAGAACAACAGACTAAAGCTGCTTGTCAGGAGACTTGATGCAATGGGACTGTAGGAGATTAGGGTTTTCCATGCTCTCCCCTCCACAGCCTCACTACGCCTCTATTCTGCGTGCACACACACAGACACACACACCATCAGTCATGTAATTTTTATTTCTGTTAAAAGGAGCATGATTTCACATATTTAAGATCTAATCAGGTCTGTAAAACTATTTCAACCATTTAAATGAAAAAAAAACAATACAGAATTGTGTGAAAAGTTTAAAATATTTTACTAATATTACAGAAATGTCTACTATCTACTTTAAACTGTTTACTATGAGAGCCCACACAAGATTTCCAATGTGCCTGGACTGTTTGTTTATGCACAAATGGCAAATAAAAAAAACCTTGAACCTTGAAATATACCGTGTCACAGAAATCAAACTATAAGGCTTAAAAAAAAACTTTTTTTTTTCAAAGTATAACAACTTGCTACGATTGCTACGATTGCAGCAGTGATCTTGAGTTAAAGACAGTGACATTATGTTGTTTGTTGTTAGCAAGCAAGCACACTAAAATTGGCTATAATGGGATAAATATTTTTTTTTTTTAATGTAAAGCTCTTCTTACTCTGCCTTGATAGTATGACATTATTTTGTCATATTTG